GCCCTTCGGGGGAAAAACAGGGGTATGCGGTGCATGTTACCCGCTAATACCACCCCGGTGGCCATCTTCGCGCGCATATATGGCCGGGCCCTGGGAACATAATGTACACTACCACTGCCCGGCCGCGCTACTCTCCCCTGGTATTCGGGGAGAGTCCTGCCCTGCGTCCCACGATGTTTGTGGGCCGCGGCGGAGTACGGGGCAACACCGTACTTCGCCCTTCTCTACGGGCCGATACTGGGGGAGTGGAGCGCCCCCGCGCTCCATCCCCCAGCCCGTAGGGGTCCCACTAGTGGTTCCAGGCGTGGGACCACTTGTGGTGGGACCACCGTCCCCGTGCCCGCAGGCACCGCCAGAGATCCCTTGCTTGGGTTCTCTGGCTCTGCACCTTTTAGTCGCCTCTTACGACAGGCAGGTGATACCCCGGGCCTATTCGATAGCGGGACCCGGACGCCTAACCTATTTTAACCCTTTTTTACGAGGTGGAAATCCCTTCGGATCCCCCGCGCCTCCGGGCGGGGGTATGCGGTGCATGTTAGCGGCTAAAACCACCCCGGTTGCTTTCTTCGCGCACATATGTGGCCAGATCCCGGGAACACGATGTACACTACCGTTACCCGGCCGCGCTACTCTCCCCTGGTGTTCGGGGAGAGTCCTACCCTGCGGCCCACGGTGGATGGGCCGCGGCGGAGTACAGGGCAACACCGTACTCCGCCCTTCCCTACGGGCCGACACCGGGGGAGTGGAGTACCCCCGCGTTCCATCCCCCAGCCCGTAGGGGTCCCACTAGTGGTCCCAAGCGTGGGACCACTTGTGGTGGGACCACCGTCCCTTTGCCGCCAGAGATCCCTTACTTGGGTTCTCTGGCTCTGCACCTTTTAGTCGCCTCTTACGACAGGCAGGTGATATTCAATAGCGGGACCCGGTCGCCTAAACCTATCCTAACCCTTTTTTTGACCCGGTAGAAATCCTCATGGACCATCACCCTGCTCCCGCTGGGACGGGAGGGGGTGGTGTGTGGGACTCGTCTCCCCGGCCCCTGGGCAATTGGCAACCATGGGGCCGGTAGTGCAACGGAGACGCCTACCGCACTAAAACCACCGGGGGTGGACTTCTCTGCGCTATTGGGAACTGCCCGGGAATCGCAACGGCATAACAGCTGGACAGTCCCCGCGTCGCGCGTTAGCTCGTGCACCTCTGCGCCCTAGTATTCGGGCATGGCTCTGACAAGGGCCTTCTCCTCAAGTATGGCCCTGTAAGGGCCTTCTCCTCAGATTTGCGACGGGGGTGCCACCAGGCCTCCCGCCGCGCCCCCTAGTTGTTTGTGGGGGCGGGTGGGTCACGGGTATCCCAGCCCGTGCCCACCCCCATAGGGTCCCAGACCTTATTCTCCTCCTCCCCTTTTAGTCGCCTTTTATGACAGGCAGGGGCTACCCCGGGGCTATTCTTCTAGCGGCACCCGTACGCCTTGTGGGACCCTACATCTCTTATACGTTGTTGTGTGTTGGACCTATTAATCCTGCCTCAGATGGGCCAACTGGCCTCGGCGCCTGCCTCTCCTTCCTCTTCCCGGCAGGGCCCTCCTTCCCCCATTGCCATCCAGGGGTGCAGAGGGGGTCTACCTCTCCCCTCCTCACCCTCTTGTCTTCCTCCTTCTTGGCCATCACCTTCTCACAGAAAGTGGAGAAGGCTGTCCAAGCCTCCTCTTCGCTCACTATTGCTTCTACTATCGCTCCCAGCGATAGATGATAGATCCCCTCCTATCACTCCGGACAGGACGCGACGCTCCTCCTCCCACGCTACGCACTCTGCGAGGGTGTGACGCGCCGTATCCCTGTCCCCATCACAGTGATGACATCTTTCATCAACTTCTCGTCCTATGCGACACAGGTACTCCCCGAAACATCCGTATCCGGTGAGCACCTGCGTCGTCCTAAAGGACGCTCTGGCTCCCACTCTATCGAGCCACTCGTCCAGCCTGGGC